ATAAAATGCCGTCAAACTCGTTGAATATGATTTTCGAATCGTTGTGAAGGTATCCCTTCCCTTTATATAAAATCATTCCCTCGTCACTCTTGCATTCCATCTCCCTTCTCGTGCTTGTTTCACGGCCATTTTACCGCTCTTTGTGCAAATAAAAGCATCGATTGTAAATAATCGTGACGTGACTCGGTATTATATGAAAAATTATGGATGTTATCTTGAATATTCATCAACGATACGAACGGTCGATCAGAACGAGAAAATTCTCTCTCTCTCTCCCTCTCTCTCTCTCTCTCCCTCTCTCTCTCTCTCTTTTATTATGTAGGAAACATGGTTGATAAAATTGAATACAATTATTATAGAAGAGAATATTTTTTCCATTCGATTCGATAAATAATAATTATTTGTTTCATTTACTGTTTTTATTTCTTTTTTTCTTCTTTTCTTTTTTTTTTTTATTCACTCTTTCAGACGAATTTAGAATGAAATAGTAGAATCGGAAATTTGGTGAAATTGAGAATGTTTCGCGAGGTTTTTCGCGATGTATAAAGCAATTCTTTTTTTATCGCAGTTGGTTTCATCGGTTGAATTGTTTAATCGTTTATAATCGGAATTTTGTTCGATATGAGATAAAGGGATTATTATTCTGTACAGTGTTTTTCATTTTGGTCTAAAATATCGGAATCAATTGTTTTTTTTTTCTTTCTTTTTTTTTTATATCGTTATTATTATATTTTTATATACTAGGAGAAATTGTTATTTGAATTATTGATAGAAAATATCAAAAACAAATTATAAAAACTTTCAAATAGAGAATTTAATATTTATTGGTTTAAAATTTGTCTATATAAGTATTTCGAAAAATTTAATGATTAATCAATTATTAATCAATTTGACGATAGATAAATAATAAAACTAATGGATAGTTTTCTTCTCTTAATAAAATAATTTTATTTTGTTCAAAATCGCAAATAATATTCTTCACGTACTCCTAAAAATTCTCTATTTTAAACGTTTTATATAACAATGACGTGACAAACATGTGAGGATTTTTTGAAAGATCTCAACCTCGATAGATTAAGTAAACACGAATACCTGGTTGACAAGGTTTCAGGATAACTAAGTGTTCAGCCTCTTCGTTAAAAACTCGATGGCAACGTGGATAAGTGAATTAGGAAGGCGTGGGACCAGACATCCTTTTAGTGCAGCCATTTACCTTTCCCAATTTTCTGTCCTTCCCATTTATATTCCACCATTATTCCCAGTGTAAAAAAGTTGATGAAGAAAGCATTAAAAAAAAACCTGATCTTGCAATTATGATGATTTTTACAAAAAGAGAAATACATTTTCAAAGTTTCTATTTTCTAATATGTTCCCTCTTTTTCTCTACAAGTTTATTTTATCAAGATTATATATTATATTCAAACCATTCATAATAAATCTTCAAAAATTTCTTAAAATCATTCGCTAAACTTATCTTCTTTTTCTCCTTCAAACTCCATATTCCATTAAAATTTTTTGTTCGTCCCAAGAATCATTTACCACGAACCAAATATATCAAGCAACACTTCGCTAAATTAAATCCAACCCATGCTCATTTCAAAGGTGTGATAGAAACTCGCCGAATTTCTAACATATCCTAGTTTCTTCAAACGGTCCAACTTTTTCCCATTTAAATCTGGATCGCAACAGTATTCACTTCACGAATCATTACCTTCCACGCCATTTAAACAAGTTAACACCATCCCCCGAAAGCAACACCTTGCTATAAAAGGCCCATGACGCCCGCGCGCAAACTCGTTCCGATCGTGTACCACCAGTAAACAGTTTCGACACGGCTTATTAGGCCTGCCTTGAATAATTGAGCACCGTGTTAATTAACTCGACTTCTCGCCCCTTTCGAATTAAACATCAGGACGTGATGAGCGACGCTCATCACGAATCCAGATCATTGAACGATTAAAACGACAAGAATTGCTCCCTTTTGCTTGCTAATCATGGAATTGCTTTTTTCTTTCTCTCTTGTCGATAGATATTCTAATTAGATATTTTTTACATTATACAGGATGTCTAGTAGGAATTTTATAAAAAAATCTTTCTATTATACTGCATATATTAATAGTTTTTCTGGATGGATACGTAGAGTTACGAGTTAATTTGCAATCGATGCAATGAAAATTAGCGATTTGTATTATTTTTTTTACTTGAATTTACTTAAAAAAATTATTTAAATTGTTCATTCTTCATAATATATTCTATACATTAATGAATATGCATATTTGGAATCTGATTGCGAATATAATTGTTATTATATCTCATAATTATTGTGTCACATATAATTTATATTATTATTATTACAACACAGTATCGATTATTTCGTTAATCGGTTTATAATGCTATATATTTTATTGATATAAACATAGTGCAAAATGTAGGAACGATATTAAATCTTTCCAGCCTCTACCAATCGTATCCGCATTCTCCATTCTTTTTCCAAATCTCTCGTCTCACCCTCCCTTTCCCTCCAAAAAAATCACCAACAACCCATCTTTCAGAATCTTTTCAAACAAATCGATACCAGAGATTTTATATCTCTCAAAGGATCGAAAACGAGGGTGTGTCGAAACGAGTGGAAAGAGAGTTCTTCCTCTCGAAGTTTGACTTGCAGAGTGCTAATATTAAAGTTTCGTGTCGCATGGAAGGGAGTTTCCAAGGCTTGGCTATCGAGTCTATTGAAGGGTAAGAAGAGGGGAGAGGAAACGTTCCTTCTTGCGCATCGGCCTCCTCTCGATTAGATTAGAATTTGTTAGGAGTGTCAAGCGGTAACTTCGTCAGAGGAACGCTGTCAGTTTTGTTTCATCGCTGCTGGGCACGGCAGCTTTACGAGGGGGTGGAAAGTTGCTCGCGAGAAATTCCGTTTCGAGAAGTTTCCGGCTGAATACCGACTTATGAGAAACGACAAACTCTACGAGGATGAAGTTGAATTAGCCCTGGCATCGGTCTTAATACGCTTTCCCAACTTTTTTTCCTTCGTTACATTTTTTTTGTGCGTTCTTCTCTTTTGGATTTTGTTTTTTTTTTGTCTGTGAAGAGGGATATGACATTTTTGGATTCGGCTCTTGCTTGTATAGATTTGGGTGAGATGAGAAGTATAATTTATTCATTGGATTTTGAGTTTTTTCAGTCAAAATTAGAAACAAAATTTATAATATAATAAGAATAATTGTTAAAACGAAATAATCGTTGAAATATGGATCAAAATATTTTATAATATAAACAAACTTAATCTAAATATGATTCAATTTTAATTTAAATCTCATCTAATCTATTGAGATATCGCATACAATAAATTAACAATATTAATTTTAAAGTCAAACTATCTAAAAAATCATTATCAAAATTTTTATGCATTGAGCAACGTCGTGCATTCCGCTTGATTCAATTCTTTCTTCGAGAGATTAAATTCGGCGAACACTTCGCCATCTGCTTAGGCTTGAAAACAAGGGTGAGAAGAAACTCTAACAACATCGAATTGGAAAGGGGCTCTTAACGCTAACTCTTGGTTCTTCCAATGTTTCAAGCGTTGGCGACACATCCGTGGAAACAGATTAGAACTTGTTGGTGGTGTCGCATCTGAACTTCCATTGGAGAACGTGGTAAGTCTGTTCTAATTGCCACTGTACACGGAAACCGTACACAGAAGCTATTAACACGAAGGAACGCTACGGTAGAGATAATGGAAACGAAAAGGGATTTGATTGCGAATTGTGAAAACTTTTTTACTTTTATTTTTACTCTACTAGACGTATTGAAGTTATTTTCATTTGAATCAATTTGATATTTTATCTGATTTAGGAGATATTCTTTTTTTTTAGGGTTTGGATAGGCTTTATAATGAGGAATAAGAATATATAATATAGCATATCATATAATTCAAAGTATACAGCATAATATTTATTGTAATAACATAGGAAACCATGATGTACTACAATTTTGCAAATATGAATGTATATATTTTATATATTTTTATATAATGTAGGAATTTTATTTATTTTATTTAAAAAATTTTATTTAATCATTATCATAATCATTAAATTCAATTAAAAATTTTTTTAATTAAAAATTCAAAATTTCTTAATTTAATAACATAGGATATATATTAAATATATATATTAAAGTATGTAAAGATTATAAAATCGTTCAATTTATTTGTTACCAATGAAGTTTCTTCAATTATATTTCCCAGAAACAATTTAAGTTCACAAAAATTTCTTTTTATTAATTCAAGTTGTATACTCGTGAAACATTTTCTTCTAAGACATATTACGTGCGAAGTTAACGAATTGTCTTTATGAAAAACTTCCACGAATTTAACGTTACAATAAAAACTTCAGGAATTTTTTTTTTCCTCGAAAAAATTTCCAAATTTTCGTAGGAAAGAACGTTATTGCCAAAAAAAAATGGTCGAAGTTGACATTTCGGCATTTTCTAAGAAGAATCACTCTGCCTGGGGGAATCAATTTCCCCTCACGTTCCCAACGAATAGACGTCAAAGGGGAATTTCGATGAGTCGAATTGACAGTTTTACGATCCCCTGTTAAAGCTTCCTATATTTCGCTCGTCTCCGCTCGAAATCACGAAAAGCTTTTCTTCGTCATCGTAGATACTTGAAATCGTGACACGTTTACTTGTGAACTCAATTCGTACACTTTGATGCGTACAAATTGTTTCATAGAGTTATAATAATTTCACTTACAAAGTGTTTTTAAAAAGAAACAAATCAATTCATATTGATTTTATATTCATAAACTTTTTAACTTATAGATTTTTTTATTATCGAATAAATTGTTTTTTAAAATTTGTTTTCTCTTTGGGCTAATTTTCATTCTATCTTTTGTTATTAATTCTTATTAATTTTAATTTTTTGATTATAATTTCATTTTTATTTTTTTGAAGCAATCAAAAGTTTTATAGTTTATAAATAATTTTTAAACATAACTTACCATGTCTGTTTTTGGAAGAATCGACTCGAAGAGTTCCTTCGCTTTGAATCTGATCTTTTCCATTTGTTACGCGACAAGTGTAGAAACCTACGTCAGAGACATCTAAGTTGATGATCTTTAAACGACTTCCGGCAATATTCTTCGCAGCATGTTCATGCGCCTGAGAAATAAAAACATTTTCTCCTTTTTCTTTTCGATTTTTTAAATATTCTTTCAAATGTTGCAAATATAACATAAAATTTAAAATTTTTAAAAAGAAAAATATTCTTATTTTATAATATTTTTATTAAAAATATATTCAATATAATTCTTCCTCTTTGATAAAATTTAATAAAATTTATAAAGAGATTTGATAAAAAGGAAAATTTTCGATAGTATCATTGGTGTTACCTGTGCATGTATCTTCTTAATTGTGATTTTCGGCCGTTTCTCTTCGAGAGGTGCTTCGTTCTTGAACCATTTGATTTTAGTTGGCGGAGGATCTCCAACAACCTCGCATCGCATATGCGCCACACCACCAGCATCTTTCGAAATATTAGTCAAAGTCCGTATAAATTTCAAAGTGCCACTTTTGGCCCCAGACACTGCCTCCATTTCAGTCCTAGAAAATTAAAAGGAAGTAATTTTAACTATATTTATTAACTTTTATTAATTAGATATTTAAATACATTAATTTATTTATATTTTCTTTAATATAAAATTACGATGTTTCTTCATTTTATTATTTTTCAAATCATTCATTGATTCAAAATTGGATAATAGAATCTAAAAGTATTATATTAGCAAAAAGAATAATAATCAAAGAATTATAAATTCATTAATAATTTTTATTTAAGTATTTTCAAAAGTAAATATATATCTGTAGATATTACGATTATTTTTAATTAAAATAATTTTCCAACGTTTATACATTTCAATATTCCATTATAAATTTAATTTTTATACAAATGCAAAGAGAAGAATAATAAATTATTAAAAAAGATGATTTTGATAAATATTTTTCGAGCACCCGTTAGAATGTTTTCATTGAAATGTATGAACGACATGTTGTCACGAGAAATTGACCAAAGAACGCGGGTTAAATTTTTTATCGGCTTCCGGTTTACATGCTCCGTTTAGCATTATTACATGCATGGAGTGGATCGACGTATGAAAATTCAACGATTATTATGCCTTGTATTTGGATTTTTACTACATGTACCCGCTCTCGTGGAAAAATATTTCCCGCGATGGCCGGGAATTTATTGCGAAACCTGTTATACATTTCATATTATATCGTTGTTCGAAACCATTTATTAAAATACACAACGAATCGCGATGCTTTACGACATTTTCGAGTTTGAAAAGGGATATAATGGCATAAACGATAAATAAAAATAAAAAATTAAAAGTATAGAAAGAGGAGTAAGGGTGAAAAAATATTTATATAATAAAGAAAAAGATTAAATATATTTATTTCTTATTATTTTTCTTTTTTCTTCTATCTTCTAAGAAAATTACAATTTTTAAATTCTAAAAATAAAAAGGAAAAAAGAAACGCAATCTCTGATCCTCTCTCATCGTGATTCTCCATTATATCCCCTCTATGAAATTGAATTTTGAGCTCCATTGGTATAACGCGAACTACAATTTTTTTGTTCATGGCAGGGTAAATTTAATCCGGTTCCAATAACCGAAACACAAAATACACTCTAACCACCCACTCTCCCATGCTCTTCATTGCTACGTTAAATCATAGATATTTATCTGTATCAATGAAATTGAATTGTTCGATGCCGGACGCGAAAGATGTAGAAAAGAGGAGAGGAGAGGAAATAAAGAAAGAGAAGAAAAATAAAAAGAAAGAAAACAAGTTCGAGTAATAGATACAATGAACACGAGTCAGTCGTGTCCCTGATGGATTTTTATGCAACGACGATCCCACGTCAGATGCCCTCAGGGCGAGCAGTATATCCACCCACATGCAGATCGATCTCTTGAGCCACTTCGTGCTGCCTGGACGCTAACAATGTAACTTTAAAACGAGAAAAGGATCATTAAAGGGCACCGAGTTTTCGTGCTGAAAGTTTCGCCCGATTGATAGAATGGAATTTTGATTATGCCAATAATAGAGATGAAATAGAAGAGTGATGGATTTCTTTCTTTGATGAAAGAACATTTGCATTGATGGATGTTTTCTTAAGTTGGAATTTTTGTTTACGAAAATATCGCAATTTAAAAAATTAATTTAAATTTAAAAAACAATTTAAATTTAAAAAATTAGTGTGTCTTTTTTAAAATATTTTTTTCGAAATAATGTCGATGTTAACAAATTTTTGACAATATTAAATTTCTGATTTCGGCATTATGGTTAGATATTAAATGATTTTTTTAATGAATTTAAAGAAAAATATTAAAATTTATTCAAGTTAGAATTATAAAATTTTTCTCTTTTGTTAAGAGAGATTTCTTTAAAGATCGAAGGAATCACGGGAAATTTAAGGGGGATAGTTCGCCACAAGATATGATCTATGTGAGAAATTATGTTAGAGACTTGTCTTTCGAGGAAGAAAAATGTTTTCTTGGAGTTAAGGTGAAAGAGATAGGAAATCTAGAATGAGTTATTGATTATGATAATTATATATCAGGGGTATTTGAGTTTTCGTTGCAAGATTTACGAGGTGTTGTAGTTTAAGATACAATAGAATGAATATATAAAATTGGCCTTTTTAAAATAAAGAGAAAATGCATGTCAAACATCGAAAATTTTATCAAATTTTTTTATTCAAATTTAACATAATGAATATTCAATTAATTTTAATTATTAATTATTGTTACAAAATCATGTTTAGCATAAATTTTGACAAGTTATTCATCTTATATATCATCTCAATCATTATCCAGATTAATGGAGTTAATTATCTGATTTTTACTTATTCTGATTTATTGTAAAAAAATAAACATACGTGCATCTGAATAAAATTTTAATACAAAAAAATTATGATGAGAATCAACAGATACTACGTCGTTTTTTTCCCAACCACTTCTATTTTTGAAGACAGAACACGCATCCACACGATGTGTATTTACATGACTTCGTACATCTGCAAACGAAGGAGGATGCCAGATCCTCTCCTGGAAGTTGCAATCAATCGTGACTTCCGGTCGATCTTGACACGAGGGAGAAAGTAATCGCGTATATTAGGCCAATATAAATCCGGGCATAGTGAACGTTGTCGCGCTACGAACGGAATATTAAGTATGAATATATTAATGGACCAACACCTTATTCTTCTTGCCCTCTCGCATCGCGAAATAATGCATAGTCAAGCCTGAACTTCCTCTTATCGCGGTGAGTGATGTACGATTGCCTGAGTCGCGCTATTTATCCAAGTGTTTCTGGAAATGGAATGGCCAAGATTTCATTTTTTCTCGCTTTACTCGATCCCCTACGTGAAAATATTACTTCTATCTTTCTCGATCGATTTTTGAACGAATCGTATTTTATTTTCGTCGAAAGATTTCGATTAATTTTCAAATAATATCGTATGTATAAAATTCTCCTTTATAAAAATATAGTTTTTTAATAAAAATTGATAAATTAAACTCATCGTATAATCGTATAAAGATTAAATATTATCGTCATATGTAATTCGGCCTTTAATCCTAAAAATAAAATTATACATTTATTGCTATTACGCGAAACAATAGAAAATTTATATTTCTAATATTATTATTGATTATTGAAATTAATGATTTCATGATAGGAATATGAAATAATCATAATACATTACGAAAGTTATTATTGTATATGTATATAATGTACATGTATATATGTACAATATATGTACATGTATATAAGGAATAATATTATCGCGAACAAAATGTAAATTTTGCCTTCCTCTCTCCTATTTATTCTATGCACGACACTCTATTTCCTTTATATGAGTCACTGTCAAAATTTATCTTCAAGTTTCGTCCCTTGAAACTGAAGATGGTGCACAAGAGCTTCTTCTCTAATACAATGACGAAACACGATCACAGGCAAAGAGCTTTTCAATTTGCATGCACGTCAGACGCACAGAATCTGTTCCTGAAAATGCGAAACTATGCACAGTCGATTGTTGTTGCCTCCCGATTAATTAAACAGCAGCTTCTGCTCGCAAATACTATATATCGTTGCTCTTTGTTTTGAGAGTGTTTTCAATCAATGTGAGGGCCTTTACGAACCTCGAACGTTTCAAAAGTTATAAAAATATTGACGGAGAAGAGAAAAAGACAGATTAAATCGCATAATTTTTAAAACCCACAAATGAAAATTGTTAATCGAATTTTCCGCCAAGTCTCGTTTACCTTTTCTGATCTCACGATCAATTTCAAATTCAATCTCGATTTCCATTGGATTAAATTGATGAAATTTTTTTTTTATTGGTTTTCGTGTCGTTTCGAGTTCCTTTCTATATTCAGAGGATATAATTGAAAATTGAAAATTCGTTTCATTGTCCGATGGATTATAGATATTCATTTTTGGATGAATTGCATTTGTCTTTTGAATAATTAAAAAAATTTTAATCGATATGTTGAAATTAAATTCACTAATGATTTTAATAATATTATTAATTTAAAAAACAGATATTTCTTCTAAAATACCATTCGTAACAATCAAAATGAAATAAAATATGGGATATTATAAAATATTCATTAAAATTAACTATCAATCAAATAAAATTATATTCAATAAATTGATTAGCCATAAAAAATTCTTAATCATTTAAAGAAAATAATATAATATTTATGTCTATAAGTAGATATAATTATTCATTAATAAAAATTTCTAATAAAATTATTACAATCGAAAATTAAAATTTATATATAAATCAAAATAAAAGTTTTGATATTTTAAATAATTTTGACTATTTTAATACTTTAAACTAATGATATTTAAAGAAAAAATCTTATAAATTTGTTTCTCTTCTATTATTATATTCTAGAATCGATTTTTCAAAGATTATTCTATGAATATATTAATTCTATATCTCGTTAAATTTATAATAGCATTATTTATCATTTATTACTTTCTATTAACATAATCAATCTCGAACATTTCACATAGTAAATAGTGCAAACTTACTTTATCCAAACTTATTTTATTCCAATCTACTCTTAAACGATCAAACGCTCGAAAATTCGATCTACAATAATGCCAAACTTAATTATCAAGAGCTTGCCCTATTCCTTTCCGTCACAATCAGACTATTCTACGGCGCATAATTACGAGTGATGTTATACATATGTATATCCTATGGAGTACAGCGACCGCCAAGGCAAGCAATAACGTCCATCAAACATCACGGAACTGTCACAGTAGCCTACACCGTTCTTAGGTATCGAGCAAGTGGAGCGCGCTGTTACGCAAACCAGAAGCTACCCCTTGGCGCGTGGAGGTAATCATCGCGTTTGCCGACCCGTCTGTGTGTTTCTATTCCTCGATGCATGAATACGCGCACATTCCCTGTATAGGTGCGTGTTTACATTGGAAACTGATTGCACACAGCCGCGGCGAGTAATTCAATCCTCCCACTCTTGGTTATTGAATATAAATCAAGCTATGATCAGTAAGTC